CTTAACAAAAATAACAGTGAGTATCACCATAAGAATATTAATTATTTTATTAATAATTAATTATTTTTAATTATCAAATTAAAATAAAACTTTAATAATTTTGATGGGCTTAACAAAAATAACGGTGAGTATCACCATAAGAAAAATAATTTTGTATAATTTGTTTTATAAATTTTGTTTTATTTTTTGGTATAATTTAATGTGTTATTTAAATAATTAATTTTATTAATTTATATAAAATTCATAATATTAAATATATTATTTATTTAATAATATAAAAAATTTATATAAAAAATTTATCTATATAATTTTAGATTTGCCTAATGGCATGTTTGGGTTGAAGCCTTACCTCTGCTCTTTCTTATTTTCTTTGCTATTTTTTTTTTCTTTTGGAATAGCTAGCTATAATTAAAACATAAAAGTATTTTTCACGTCTAATAAATTATTGAAATATCAATGAATTTATTTTGTGTATTGATTTATTAAATGTATTTTAATACTCAATTTAAGTAAAAAAATGATTATTTTTAAATAAAGTGATTTTTGAATATTAAAATTTCATTATAAAAAATTAAAAATATTTAATTAATTTTTTAAATATTTGTGCACTTTTTTATTCTTTTTTTTTATCAACTTTTTTACTCTTTCTGACCTTTAAAAAAAAAAAATGGACCTGAAACTGAAAGTCCATAAATCTTACCATAATGTTTTATTTTATAAGGGTAAAAATTATTTTAGCCTATGAACCTTTTAGAAAATTAATGACGTTAGATGTAAATGTTGGTTGTTATAAAATAAATTACTATAAGCCAACAAATTAGTGATCAAGTGATAATCTTCCTACAATAAGAGGTTTTGCCTTCCTCGTTACTATAAGTTCAAAAAAAAAAAAAAAAGTAGAAATCAAGATAAATGTTGACTCATTAAGGATTTTTTAATTATTATTATTATTATTCTTGATATTTTAATTTTTTTATTATCATTCTTGATATTTTAATTTTATCATTAACATTCATAATATTTTAATTGTCAAAGCATCCTAATTTTTCTCAATCTTTTTTATAAAAATAACACTAGGTTGAATACTTGCAACATAGTACCGAGGACATTTCAACATTTCAATTGCTGTTACTAGTTTTGATACTAAAAAAGAATCAGTATCTAATACTGTATGTACTTACTCCGGTCTCTTAAATATAGAGCTTCTTACTAAATTTAAAATGAAAACTAAACACCATAACGATACTGGACACAACCTAAATTATCTTCACATATAAACTGGGAATTTCTGCCCCAGTTAGCTCCAAGTATGAAGCAAGAGCAAAATTGATTGATAGTAATGCAGCAAAAATTCAGCATATGCATATAGGCGTTTTGGTTCAAAGTCAACTACCAATAACTTCTACAGAAGATGGTTCTTAAATTCTCTCAGGACAGTCAGATGTCTATAAAACCAAAATACCAAATAAGAATCCAAAGAAAACTAATTAAAGAGTACTACCGGACCAAACAGAAAAAGAAGTTCAATATCAAAAAATGTTGCTCCTGTAGAGCTTTATAACCTCTATTATACTGAATTGCCCATCTTCAGTTAACTGCAACCTCAGTACAGAGGTAACTAGAATGAAGAGTATCCTGGGCTGATACCTTAGTCTTTGATAGCTTGAGCACATCCATAGCTTCTTCCACTTTGGCTGCCAAAGCTTCGGGTGACTCTATTAAAAGAAGTAGTTCTGAGTTGTCCATCTCTAAAAGCATTCCCGTGATCTTTGCGACAAGATCAGGCTGCACATCAGAAAGTATAAATGTAAGCTAAATCTGAATTGTTGTCAAAAATGAAAATCTGTAGGCGTGGATTTTCAGAACTGCTTCTGTGAGATTATTTATGTCTGGCTGCTTGCTCTATTTGATGGATAATATACAGTGAACGTTGAATAATATAAAGCATAATAGGAACAAATTTGCAAAATCAAAGACATACCTGGTGTTTCTCAACAAGGGGATAGAGACGCTCTCCAAGTATCTGCTTTTGCTGCTCAGGGGAAGCAGCAGCAAGCGTGCTACTAAGCATATCTGATTCTTGTGACACACTTCCAACAGAGTTGGAAGTAGCTGGTAAGACTCCAGAGCTCTTGTTCATCTCACGTGCACGACCATTTGACACATATTTGGCCTGCACAGCACGCTGCATACCAAAGCTTAAGGAGATTACAGCTTATGAAACATTATTGCCACATGTATAATGGTGAATTCTCAATGAAAAAGAGTATGGGGAGAGTAATCTGTACTGTTCCTAAAAGTATCATACATTTGAGCCAACTAACAATTCCAATTTTGCAACTTTATTTTCTTACATTTTACCATCCAGCTAATGAAAAAGGTCACGCAAATTGATATGTCTAACTAAATAATATGCCTCTATCCTAAATCATACTTCTAGAAAATCACTTCAGGTTAGAATAAGACTACGAGAACAATTATAATGACAAATAACAAGTATAGATAGTTATGAACATTGGGGACAATGTAATAACAATTGGTAGTATATAAAACAAACCTGTCGATTGCTCAACTCTTTTGAAGAAGTCATCAATTGAGCTGGCCGCAAATGTGGTGCATATGAGACAAGGTGAGGTCCACCTTGTAGAAGCATGTGCCCATTCATCCTACTTCGGTTCTGCCTATGTTGCCTTGGAGCATTAGGGACCTGCAGCACCAGATTGTACAACTAAGAAAGCGAGATTGTATTGGCACCAGGATACTAGTTTGCACTGCCAATATGTCCATCAACATTTTGCTAGAATGGCATCGTATTAACACAAGAATTTACCAAAGATATACCAGGTAAACAAGGTTAGAATAACAATGCTTGGGTCTGTGGTAGAGTTTCAATCCCCACCCCCCCCCCCCCCCCTTCAACAAAAAAAAAAAAAAGAAGGAATTTGGCAGAGTAGGTATATGCATACTGCAGAAAGTGATGATGGTTGAAAGGTTGATGCAGTTGGAGGTGCAAAACCACTAGCCCTCCATCCTGGCCTCAATGCTAAAGGTTGATACGTAAGACCTGGTCGTGCAGGTACTTGTGAAACAACACCAGTAGGAGCTGTGTAGTAAAAAGGAGGATATCCACTAGGGATAACTGTAGTAGAACCTCCCATTTGCTGTGCATACTGAAGTTGCAATTGTGCTTGCCTATCCTCCTTCCTCTGAGCAATGGCTACATATAGTGGCTTGCGATGGAACATGTATCCTGTGAGACAAACAGGCATGAGAGAACTGGTGGCTTCAAGAAGAATGAACAACTAATCTTAAGATATTCTGAATGGGATTTTTTCAATAAATGGGTTTTTAGTTTTCTAAAAACTCATTTAGTTTAATGTGTTTCTGCAACATATTATCATGATTATTAGAGAAATAAGAACAACAATAGTTTTAATGTCATTAATCAAGTTCATGTTTTTAGTGTCATTGTTAAAACTTGTCTTAAACAAATTGTTTGTTTTTTATTTTTAGGTTTGATTTTCAGTAGTTGCAAAATTTATGAAAACTAAAAACCACAACCATATTTCATATATTAAAAAAAAAAAAAAAAAAAAAAAAAAAAAAAACCACAACCATACTAAATGGAGCCTAAGCTTGAATTTTATAGATCAGCATGCAGAAACATAAGCTACTCTATCATAACTAAATAGTAAGTACCTCTCATATTGGATGAACCTTGGCCCTGTGAATTCAATTCCAGGGAGATGAATAAAAAGACAAATATGCACCTATCCTCCACCCCGCACCCTCCCCACCCAAATGCTCAAAATATTTTGCTAATGGAGTAGTCATGCCCTTGCCTAGGGTATATTAGTTGTGATACGTGTAACAAATTCCTTTTGCTCATTGCTATTGTATCTTGAAAGTAGCAGAGTTCATTTGGTGAATTTTTTGCTGAAAAAATTATATAGGAACGTGTAAATCCAGAAACTAAGTTGGTCTCCCCACCAACTTTAGACTAATCATGAGCTTTTAATGAGTTATCACTTATCACTAATGAACTTGGCTTCTCTCTTATTTCTCTCATTTCGAAAAAAAAAATGTAAATAAAAAATAAAAAACGTTCATTTTCTCTCTTTCCTATTTTCTCTTCTCCATGGACATGTGTCTTGGTTTGAGAAAATACCAGTCTACTCCAAGAAGCTCAGTAACTGCAAAGATCAGGTTACCTTGTATGCTTAACTTTTAATAAAATGGCATTTTTAAACATGCATGTACCCCAGATTTACATGAAAGAGTCATAAAGAAATGCCATGGCAGATACCGAATGTCAATTTAAACACAGTGGCTACCATGCAAGCCCTTGCTAGCTGAACCCATGAACCCTAAACATGTTCAAATGGCTAGGAGGAAAATCAAGCCACTCATTTAAGCTTTGTTTGAGAACGCTTCTCAGTGTTTTACCTTTTGGTTTTTATGTCTTTTTATTAATTTAAAAATATATAAATGTTATTAAAATAAATATTAAATATATTAAATATACTTTATATATTTTTGGGATGTTAAAGACCAAAAAACCTATAGCTGCAGCTACAGGCCAGTGTTGTCAAACTAAGCCTTAGCTTGTTGGATACTTTCAAAATGCATGCTAATAACAATTCTCAAGATCCTTCAAGGAAAACAAGAAGTTGCTAATATCAACCTAAAAGAGATACATCGAGTGTGATGCTAGACACAGAAATAATAATAATAATAATAATCAAACCATATCTTTTGAATAGAACCTTATTCCTTGATACCTACAACCACCAAGATTAATTGTTAATTTTCTCTCTTTTAACCCTAGATTTGATCCTTAATATGCTTTTCCTTTCTAATTAGCTTACATAAGAAAACTTAAAAACTTACCATGAAACATGTGCACAGCTTTGGTGGCCTCCTCTGGGCTGGAGAAACAAACAAATCCAAACCCTTTACTTATTCCTTTGTCATCCCGCATAAGTTTTGCAGAAGTAATTGTACCACACTGACTGAAGTGTTCTCTAAGCTCTTCATCAGTGACATCATCATCAATGTTCTTCACATAAACATTTGAGCCCTGAAATTTAAACATACAGTGATGAATAGCATAGTTTTTTACTGGATTTGTATGAATATGAGAAATGCACTAGGACTGCCTTGTATTTCAAAATTTGCTCCTTCTGCTTCTCTTCAAATTGATGACGCAGAATCTGCTCACGCTCTGCCTTTTTTTGTGCCCTTGCTACATACAGAATCTTGGAGCCTAATCACCGCAAATAAAGTAAGAGCAAGAAATTTTGTCAGGCAATGTCTGAAACACTCAATGACGGCCAAAAATTGATACCAAACTCACCAAGCTGCAATCCATTCATTGCTTCCATTGCACGTCTAGCATCATCTGGACTATCAAAGTTAATAAAGCCATAACCTCTAGAGGCCCCATTATCATCCTTTGCTATAACCAGGCTAGCAATTTTCCCAAACTCAGAAACCCTCTCACGCAGGTTCTCTTCTGTGATATCAGGATCCAAATTCTTCACGTACAGATTTGTATATTTGGCATCAGGGCTTGGCAACATCCTATCACTCTTTTTAACAAACTTGCCAACATATCTGGACCAGGAAATACAATTATGATTTAGAAATGATAAATGGTCAGGGAAGGGAGAAAACGAGAGTTTAAAAGCTCTGCACAACCCCATTTTTAGTTTTACTAAAATGAATTTGCAAAACAAAGAATATTTTAAGAGAATGGAAAACAAAAATACAGAGAAAGCAGCTCTTACATCTGTTTGTCAACAACAGTGGAACCATTAAGCTCCTGAATGGCAGCATTTGCAGATTCTTCAGTCTCAAATTGGACAAAGCCATGCCCCTTGCTCTTTCCATCCTCGGATGTGGCAACTTTACAGGACACAACATTCCCAAATTTCTGGAACAACTCTTGCAATCTTGCACTATCAATTGAATCATTCAAGTTCTGGAGGAAATACCAGAAATCCATATTATATCCAGAATTTAAACTAGAGAAAGAGAAAAAATAGACCTTATATTTTCATTGTTAAAGATTTTTAATCAAAGGAAAAAAATGAATTACCTTAATAAAGACATTCCCTACTCCACTTTTTCTTGCATCAGGATCTCTAAGTGACCACATGACTCTTATCATTTTTCCATTCAGCAACAAATGATTCTTGACCTCAATAGCTCTCTGTGCTGCTCAAATCAGAAGAAAACAAAATAGTATAACAACAAACCGTATCCAAGTTTAACTGAGTTTAAAATGACAAAAAAAGAAAAGTTCCGTATACATAATATATAAAAACTATACAATACTCAAAAACCTTACAGCATTAAAAGATGAATTACAACAAAAAATTTTAAGATTATTTTAGATATGAATTAAGGACATGAGATCAAAATGACAAATGACAATTCCATTATGGCTCAGCACAAAAACAAAGAATGAAAGGAAAAGCCAGCTTTAATAGTAAATGAACCTTAACTGAATTTTCATTCTCAGTTCCTCCCAAATGATGTAGAGAAGAGATTTAATTCTTTGTCTACATTCTCAAAATCCAAATATGATGGAAAAGAGACAGCCAGTAAAAATAAAAATAACCAACAACCTGTAAAACCAGATCTTTGGGCTTTCTGCTTAAGGGATTCTATATATTAAACAAGGACCAAAAATAAAACCAGGCGCCAGATAATGCATGTGAATCCCCTTGGTATGGAATGACAGATAGTTGATGAATTTCCTAAAAGAGAAAGATTAATATTGAAAACCCAATCAACAAGCCAATATCCAAATGATCAATGTGTTCTGTAATTAATTTTAATTTTCTATAGAATAGTGAAAATCTCAAACAAACCACATAATGCATCAGTTTACAGCCCAATTGAGTCAGAATTAATATTTGTGACAAAACCGCAGCCTTTACATTCTCGTATACTTTCCAACACGCAACCAAACGGTGTGGATCTCCACGAAAATTGAATTCAACTCGTTCATTTTTCTCTCAATCTATATTTCTAAGCACCTAAAATTCCAATTCCTTTCATTTCTATATAGTATATTGTGAATCAAACGTGATCACAAGCATTGTCAGCAACAAAACAATATCATTCTACGGATTCCCCTACTCCACTCCTCATTTCCCACACTTCCCCGATAACCAAACTGCACACTTAAAAACCAAATAACCGCTAAACCAAAAAGGAAAAGGAAATCTACCTCGGTATAGCCAACTAACAGAAGATCAGAGGAAAATAACCAAACATAATCCAAAAAAATCAGACGAATCAAATTAAATATAGCAGAAATCCACAAGCATTGCAAAATAATCAAATACAATCCAAAATAATTAGATGAATCAAATTATGTATAGCAGAAATCCACAAGCACAGCCAAGAACTTACCGTCTTGAGTAGAGATGAAGTTAACATAGCCATAACATAGGGACCTCCCGGTATTGGAGTCGCGGCAAACACGAACAGAGGCGAGAGTCTGGAATTCAGAGAAGGCGTCGACTAGTTGGCCATCGGTGACGTCAGGGTGAAGGTCCCCAACGTAAAGCGACGCCGGAGCGGAAGCCAATACCGCAGATGGAACCGCCATTCCGTACGTACTACGCGCAAGACTCTCCTCCGAGATCGAAATCAATTAAGTACTAATGCTTTCCTTCTTCTTCTGTTACCGCCAGCAATCAATATCACTGCAGCAGAAACAACGGCAGAGGAGTTTCTGTTTTGGGGGAGGAAAGAGTGCGGCGTTTCGCTTCAGTTTTTTTGTTTAAAGCGTGAATTAATGAATCCGAAAGTGTTTATTTCGGGGAGACAGAGAGAGAATCAGTATTCGGGCACGGAAGATTTTGCATGGACGCAGAGGGGGTTGAAGGTTGAGCGCTATTACGATTCGTTGATTCGTTACGCTCCTTTTCTTCCCACGCTCCTCTCCGCGCGTTTCATATACTTTTCCAACCCTTTTACGGTTCTACCCCTGTTGGTTACCCCTTCCTCCGGTTTTTTTTTCTTTATTTATTTATTCCTTAATTTCTCTTTTTATTTAGGTATTTGCCTTTTTTTTTTTTCTACGGACAACCAATCCTCATTCATCGAATGGGACCTTGAAAACGTGGGAGGAGAGCACTCCCGCAGCAATTCAATAGTAGCAAACTTTGCAATCCTATTATGTTAAGAGAAAATTGTATAAAAAAATTTGTTTATATTTAGTTACATAATTTATTTTCTTTAAAATTGTAAACTCAATTTTAATCCCTTTTTATTTCAATGAATATCATCCAATTGTTTCTTCTTCTTAAAATTACTTAATTTTGTAATATAATAATAAGGTATCAAAAAAGTATACATTAATTTTGGTTCTAAAAAAATTAAAATTTTAATATTAAATAATATTATTTTATTTAATTAAGATTTAATTTAAAATTTAAAAATCTATATTATTAAACATTAATACATATATTTAGAATTTAATTATATAAAGTGAATTTTTAAATTTTAAATTGAATTTTCATTTCCAAATATAAAAATTAACATCTAATAAAATAAATTTTTAAATTTTAAACTAAATTTTAATTAAATAAAATGATGTTATTTAAGATTAATACTTTAATTATGTATTAAAATTTTGTATTTTGAAATAAAAGACTTTTAGTAATTTTTAAGTAGTAAAGTTAGATTTGGTTGATGGTAACGATTATTTTATAGTTAAATTATAAAAGTAAATTAAAATTTAAAAACTTTCTTAGAAATTTAAAAAATCTAAACCTTTATATTGATAATTTTTTATTAAATTAACGAATGGACGAGAAATACATGTAAAATACTTTTTTTTTTATTCTTATAGAAGTTCCTCAATTTTAAAGAGTGAGAAACACTTTATTCTTAATTATACATCAATTTATTTGCTTAAGTTCACATAATTTAGCCCAACACTTTATTTTTTAATAAAGAAGATCACCTGCTGAACCGGTAACCGGTGAAAACTCAGCTCAAACGCAAGTGATCTTGGACCTTGCGTTAAAACGCAAGCCATTGGGTTAAGAGAGGCAAATTGGTAAAATACTAAAATCGGGGTGGGTCCGCAATCTTAACGACAGCTTCAAAGCTTCGGAAGATCGCCTCACTCTCCTTTTCGGTTTTTCTATTTTATTTCCACTGTGATTTTTCACAGCCAGAAAGTAACCGAAGTGTACGGACATGCGTTCTCCTCCTCCCCTTGTGATTTTCTTTTGCATTTTTTTTAGCTAGTACAATTAGAAGTTTCCTTCTTCTTTTTTTTTTTTTTTTTTTTTTTTTTTTTCTGAAGCAACCAAAAAC